ACAAAAACAAAGCGGGCCGAGGCTTCTGATGCACGCTGAGGTCACCCACCTCCTCTCTCTCTCTCTCTCTCTCTCTCTCACACACACACACACACACACACGGACACACACACACATCCGTGGCCACAAAGCACCAACAAAAACAAAGCGGGCCGAGGCTTCTGATGCGCGCTGAGGTCCCCCCCCCCCTCTCTCTCTCTCTCTCTCTCTCTCTCTCTCTCTCTCTCTCTCTCTCTCTCTCTCTCTCTCTCTCTCTCTCTCCCCCCCAACACTTTACCTTCCACGTGAATCCTTTCAGTTCGTCCCCACATTTTTTTACCTCCTCTGCCAACACTGAAACGGGCATGACTACAAGGTGCATGTGAGTCCGTTTCTCCTCCGTCACGAGGAGGACAAGCAAGGTCGAGATCCCCCAGATTAAACGACCGAAAAAGAAGACACAAAACGATCCGGCACAAGTAGGACACATGCGAGGCAGGAGACAAATCAAACTCCTAGAGAGCACAGTCTGTCCTGTCTCTGTTCTGCAAAACCGAAGGCAATCCCGAGAGCCTGCCACACATGTCAATATTGTAAACAGATAATGAATCAAAAGAAAACGAGAGAGCACTCTCTTCCCTGCATGCCAGATTGGATCCACACCGCCTGTGTGCCCGGTCCATTGCCCGTAATAAGTGTGCTCCATCTTTTTGGAGTTCTCTCACTCACCTCCCTGAAAAAACACAAGTGGCCATACCTGTTGCAGTGGTGCGCCCTCTGCCGACCTTGGCCAATGATGCCCCTTTGTTCGAGGGAGGGGCCAACAACAACTGTAAGGACACCGGGCCCGTTTCCCGGCTTGTATAATTGCAAGAAAAATGAGCGAGAGCGATAGACAGAAAACCAAATTGCAGTATCACGTTGAAGACCAGATAGTCGTGTCCCAAGCAGAAAGCACAATGCACTGAGATACAAGCCAAATAAGAGCAATACAATGAACTCAAATGTCAATGTCAGCCTCTTCTATCCACAATCAACAATGTATCCAATGTCGCCCTTTCTGATTGGCGCCCATTACCCAGCCTATCACTACTCAGAACCTATACTAGCCTACCGCTACATGACAAAGCAACCAGGAACACTTCCAGTTGTACATGAAGAACACTACCAGTCGAAGACCAATGTACATGAAGAAGTCGCCTGTGCAGACTGCCACATCTCCCTCTCGACTCACCGCCTTCTCTCTCCCACATTACGTCCTCCTACGCGAAGACCACTGTCACCATCACCGGCAAGTCCGCCAGCAGGCCCGGCTATGGCCGCTCGCACCCACTGTCACCGCAGTGCCCTTCACCTCTCAAGCGCCCGTGAGCGCCCCAGCCTCCAGCGCCAGGCAGCCTTCCAGACAGCGCACGGTCCAGCAGCGTGGTGGCAAGCAGCGTGAGCTCAGAATGTCTGGCTGGGCGCAGAGAGCTTTCCTGTGTGGAAAGTGCTCTGCCCTTCATCAGCGGCCTGAGTCTGGAGGTCGAGTTCCCTGTAGCCTAGCTTTGGGCCAAAGTGTCTGCGCCCAGACCCATTGCAGATAGCAGCCTGGGCCCTCAAGAGTTAAGCGACCCAACAATGTGATGTTGCCAATGTCACAAGCTGCATTCTGATTGGCTGAGAGGTCACAGGCACGTCACTCTTTGGAAGAGCCCAGAGGGCTCACAACGTTGTGATCACACGGGCGAGGGCCTTGTAACCAAATGGCGTGAGGTAACTGTCTGCCGCCCCCAAATGCAGAAATGACAAAAATAAGGCCTCAACACTTGGGTGGGCAAGGCGCTTGCTGGGGGGGGCCGATGGTGTCGGGCAAAAAGGCCACGTGATGCGAGGGCTCATTCCTCGCATTATGCTTTTTTTTCTTGGGAAAAAAAAAGCAAGTGGCCATGACTGTTACAGCTGTACTAAAAAAAAACACAGGTGGCCATGCGCGTTACAGTGATACTGTGCTACTGCGGTAAAAGACACATCACGTGCCAGAATGGCTGCGATTACTGGTTCGATTGTGTGATCTGTCTGCGTAGTTGAGAACAGATCCAAGGAAACCTACCTGTGCAAACTGGTGAAATAACGGTCATTCCATTGCTGGCAAATCAACTTTTGCGGGCTTGCCCTTGATCTCACTTTCTGCAGCTCCTGTTTGACTAGTGTCTTTGTTCTCCTACTAGTAGTGATGATAACTCTGCTTCCTGTACCTGTATGGGATTGTAATCGGGGATCCATTACAGTCCCTCCCTCCCTCCATGTGTCCGTCTATCCCCCCATCCCTCCCTCCCTCCCTCCCTCCCTCCATGCGTCTGTCCATCCATCCATCCATCCATCCATCCATCCATCCATCCATCC